CCGACTCGTCGAGTTGGGCCGTCAACTCGACGATTTCCTCCCTCACATGAACATCGCATGAAACTCATCCGACTCGCCGAGTTGATGAACAACTCGTCGAGTTCACCTTCATCTGATGAACAAGTTTTGTCCTCGACTCGCCGAGTTGATGAACAACTCGTCGAGTTCATCTTCATCCTTAAGAAAATTGCCTTGGACTCGCCGAGTCTGTTCTAGCACTCGTCGAGTCCCATGAACTCCAGGTCTAAAATCACGTCCAATACATTGGGTAACTCTTCCTGTCCGATTACAACCCTTCTAACACTCAACTGGGTTCCTTTGACTCTCAACAGATATGGGGCTCAAAGCCTCGGACTCGTCGAGTCCCAAGAACGGACTCGCCGAATCAGTCATGTCCACACTCTAAATCCTTGATTTATGATGTACAACCTTTGATCAAAAGATAGATCCAAGCTTCTCTAATCGATCTAGCACGTAAAGTTACAAACTTTATGTGCTTGCATGGGACTTTGAGCTCAAAAAGACATAAAACAAGCTCTTAAGATGCATGGGGCCTTTCATGGGTGCAAAAGCAGTCCCCAACTGCCTTGTGACTCCTTTAATGACGTGATTCCGAAGCTCTAACCCCCAACCATGTTTGCAATCATGGTTGGCCATCAAAAGTGGCTTATAAAAGCCCTAAATCTCCCCAAAAAGGGATCTAACAAATGAAAGAGCAAGGTTACAGCTTTTTACCTTCAATGAACTGTAGAAGGTGCACAAACTCGGGTTCCCTTGGTCTTTACTTGCTTCCTCAAGCCTTTCTCCTTCCTTCTTAAGACCACAAGCACCAAAATCCACCAACAAGGCTTAGATTGCTTCAATAACGACTAGGGTTTCAATGAGAGGTGTTCTGGGAGCATAAGGGATGTTGTGGCCGACATAACATTGTTTAAATAGGGTGCAAACCCTCGGATTAGGGTTTTTGTCCAGTCAGAGTCTACTCGTCGAGTCCGGGACCCGACTCGACGAGTCCATCACTTAAATCCCGCGCCTCATCCCGCTTTTACTCGGCGAGTTGGTCCTTCAACTCGCCGAGTCCAAGGCCAAAAATGAAAAAAATACTTAAATAAAAATACATACCAAGAACCAGGTGTTACAATAACTATAGTCAACTCCTAACTAAATGAAATTCCATTTTACTTCAATGTGCTTATTTGATGAGTGTTCATAACAATTTTGGAATGTAGTGGTTAGAGAACCTTAGGAAGAGCTTTAAATAACATATGATCTTTCTATTCATATATGAGAACTATTCCAAAATACGAATTTGATCATCCTTCCAGCTAATCCTTTTGAGAGGTTTTATTGAGGATTTTGGTGGATTATCTTTGTAGGCATCATTCAATTTTAATTCTACTCTTGTTTGTTTTATTGATCCTTTAAATCATTTTCTTTCAACTCTAATTTATTATTTACTAAATCTACATCTATATTTGGCTTTGTGATGTGTAGAGGGATGGTGTCAACACACCACGAAGTTATTTAGGTAGGCAATACACTTTGCCAATTTTCAATCACTATGAAATTCCTAGATCTTTTGAGATTCATTGAAACTATTCAATGGAATGTTAATCTCGGATTTGCACATCCTCTTTTTGTGCCTAGGATAACGAGGTCTCACAGATAAGATGGTGAATCACCCATGCAAAAATGCATGACCCCTTGATTATGTCATGGTTCTCTACTTTACGTGTCAGTTAACCACACACGCTCTGCCAACAAACCACAACCACGAGTGCCACATCATATTTTTCTTATGTCTCATATTTACGTGCCGGTTAACCACACACACTCCATAAATAGACAATAAGGAATAATGTGCGTTATTCATGGATTAGCAACTATTCATATTTTCCTAAAATAACTAAGACGACAATTTTGTTTAGTACTTTATACGTTATACTTTTAACGGGACATTGTCCTATCAAACCATTTCGGCTAACGCCAATCAACCACACAAAGAAGCGATGAGTGAAAATGACACTCATTCAACGGTCATTTTATAGGTCGTTTCCTTATACATCTTTTTATAATATGGCTTCATGAATGTGGCCTACTCTTGATTCAATAACGATCTTTAATTAAACATGTGAGGACACATGTTGTATAATTCTTTTACATATAGTAATCATATTACATATATAAATTCATGTGATTTTACATATTCTTTTGTAATCTTTTATAATTAAATGTAAGGTGAATTTTCAACAATTTAAAATTATACGATTTAAACAAATTATATCTAGTTAACTTTTAATTAATTAATTTTAAATCATTATCTATAATTTCAAATCACTTAGGCATATTTATCTTCTCAGTTTAATTATCCAATTTTAAAAGATTAAAACAATATTTAAAACTAAAGACAAACCCTAAAATTCAAAATTATAGCAAAAATACTGAAACTTGAAAATCTACGAAAGTGTGTCATGCCTTGAGATTAACAGGTTTCTTCTGTTTTTCTCAGTTTTTCAAGTAGTTCTCATAACTAAAACCTAATGGCTTTGATACCACTAAAGGATTTTCTATGCATCTATACACTAATATTAGGCAATGTAAGCATTCAGAAATAATCCTAAGTGTATATACACTCTAGATCTAGGTTTTACTATTACATCAACCTACTTTCAAAACAATGGATATAAACTAACAAGAGGGGTAGAATTACTAACCTTTCAAGTATAATCATATATACTTGTGATTCCTTTGAAGATCTTGAACTCTTGGAAGTTCTTGGAAGGACTAACACCTAAAGTGGGAATGCCTCTAAAGGCTCACACCCAAATGTCTAAAACCCTAGGAAATTAAGGAGAGAGGAGAGACCACTTGAGAAAATTGCATTCTATAAGTGCATGAAAGATTAGGAAAAAAATTATGAAGGCTCTAAAGGTTTGTTTATAGCTGAGGTAACTTGCAGATAAAGCTTATTTAAATTAATTAAATAATCAGATTTAATCCAAATTCAGATCTTTTTTTATCCGTTAACTTAAACAATTCTAGGAGCCATCTAGGCCTCCTAAAACTGTCCATCCCCTTTAGGGATTCTAGAATGTTCCTCTTGTTCAACTAATGATGAACGTTTAGACCGAAAACCCGAATCGAAACTGAAACCCGAACCGAATAAGTTACCCGGGTCGGTTCTTAGGTATGTATTTTAGGCTTATTCGGTTCGGGTTACTCGAATAACGTCTTAATCGGGCCTAAACGACCGAACCGAAATTGAAAAGTCATAATTTTTAGGGCAACTTCGAGCTGTCATAGCGTATTCGTTATTTTTCCGATTTGCCCAATTTTTTCCAGCTTGTAGTTCACAATTTGAACTACTGTTTACATAGTTTACATGCATTTTTTGGTTATATATTCAATTAGATACAATCCTTTAAACATGAGGTATTGAAGCTGAGTTTTCTGTTCAACATGTTTGCAGAATTTCAGGGCAACTTTGAACTGTCATAGCATCTTCGTTATTTGTCCGATTTGTCCGACTTTTTTCCAGCTTGTAGTTAACAATTTAAAATATTGTTTACATAGTTTACATGCATTTTTTGGTTGTATATTCATTGAGATACAAACTCCTAAACAAGGGGTATTAAAGCTGTTTTTTTAAACTAACATTTACTTTATTGTAATAGATCTTACATATGTTCGAGATGTGTTGTTCCCCGTAGAAGAAGATTTTAATATTTGTAGAGCTATGGTTGGATCATTCGATCCACATTTAATTTTTAAATAAGTTGACTTCCTTTGATTATTGTAAATGTTATCTGGTTTATTCATTTCTTTTCGGTACTATTCGGTCCTTAATTATATTGTAAATGTTATTCGGTTTATTCGGATAATAACCGAACCAGATTGATTAATACTTGAACCGAACCGGACTCATATTGGTTTAATTGGTCTGATTTTCGGTTCCTCCAAACAGTCTTATTCGATTTCGGTTTATCCGGGTCCCGACCGGTTCGGTCCGGTTTCAACCCGAATAACATCCATATGCTCAACTATTGAATAATTAACATTCAAGTCTGTGTACCTTTATTTAATTCTAATTAATTACAGTTAATTCCAAATTAATTCTAAATTAATTTCAACAAGTTTTTAATTAATTTAGAAAGTTATGATAAATTAATAAACTATTTATTTCACTCTCTTAAATCTTTTTCTAATTATTTTAGTTCTTGAGGGCAACCCTAAAAAGAGTTTGTTATTATTTTCAAAGCTATATCAATTTAGTTATGCATTGGACACCTATTTCCAACACAGTCATTCCTGAGACCACATTTAGGCACACCAATTTTGTCCACATCATCACCATGCCACGATGGGTGGTGTGTACGTCGTGACCTCTAACCACAGCAGCACCACATCATTGGCATCCAAAATATACCATACAACCTTAAGAGTAAGCTATATTTATTTTGCTTTTTGTATTGATTTTGTTTCATGTTGTTTCTATATGATTTATTTTTGAGAATATACTTTTATGTTTTGTGTTTATAAAATAATAACATATAAAATTCAATAATTTTTATTTTATTTTTTCTCTTGATTTTGAGACTTATTTTGATTTAGTGCTAGTAGGAGATGAATATGAGTATTTAATTTCTCCTTTATTTTATTTGTAGTTGTTCTAAAAAACGAAAAAGAATCTTGAGAAACAATGATATAGAAATCATTAAATTGTAAATTTAAATAAATCCCAAAAGATTTATGCGGAATTATTTAGCTATGTATAATTGCGTACATTGTGATTTATCATTATTGTATGGATAAATCATTTAAAATTATGGTTTAGCTTATAATATTTAGACTTTAGAGTGACCCTTCAAAGATGCATTAATTACCCCACCACCCATATCACATGCCACCCCACTCCACCCCAACCCCACCCTACCCCATCCCCCAACCCCAACCTTATATATATACACCTTTTCATCCCCTATCATCTCATTCAAAACTCACATCAACAACAACCTTTCACTTTTCAATTAAAACCTACAAAACCCAAATCCTACATCAATCCTCAAATTGAAAGCGACTCCAAACACTTTTGGCATATATACATACATATTTGCAAAAATGTTTAGCTTTTCAGAGCAAAATAACTTATTTGGCCGTCGGTGTGTGTGGGTCAACGGGCCAGTTATAGTAGGGGCAGGTCCTTCGGGGCTTGCGATTTCAGCTTGCCTTCGGGACCAAGGGATTCCGTTTGTAGTGATTGAAAGATCCGACTGCATCGCATCCCTTTGGCAAAAACGAACCTACGATCGCCTCAAACTCCACCTTCCCAAAAAATTCTGCCAACTTCCTAAAATACCTTTCCCCGAAGAATACCCTGAGTACCCAACAAAGAAACAGTTCATCACTTACCTTGAGAATTATGCCAAAAAATTCGACATCAGGCCACAATTCAACGAGTGTGTTCAGTCAGCTAAGTATGACGAGGCTTGCAAGCTCTGGCGGGTCAAAACCGTCTCGACAACTGGTTCAGTCCGGTCCGAGACTGAGTATATCTGCCAGATGCTTGTTGTGGCAACCGGAGAAAACGCAGAAGGCGTAGTACCGGAAATCGAAGGCCTACAAGACTTCTCCGGTGAAGTCATCCATGCAAAAGACTACAAGTCGGGCGAAAAAATTCCAAGGAAAAAAAGTTTTGGTCGTCGGGTGTGGGAATTCTGGCATGGAAGTCTCTCTTGATCTATCCAATCACAATGCGAAGCCATCAATGGTGATTCGGAACTCGGTCAGTTACCCACCTTCATGAAACATCAAAACAACAAATATTTTTTTCAAGAAAATCTACCCACATTTCAGTTAACAGGATACTAATTCATCATTTCGTGATTTCAGGTTCATGTTCTACCACGAGAGATGTTCGGAAAAATCCACATTCGATTTAGCCATGATGCTGATGAAATGGTTACCTCTATGGATAGTTGACAAGCTTTTATTGCTCTTCGCATGGTTCATAATTGGAAACATCCAAAGTTATGGCATAAAGCGACCATCTTTAGGTCCACTAACACTCAAAAATCACCATGGAAAGACCCCGGTTCTTGACATAGGAGCACTGGAGAAAATCCGGTCAGGCGACATCACCGTCGTACCGGGAATCAAAAAGTTCACCGGAAAGACAGTCGAGTTAGTCAACGGCGACATCCTCAACATCGATTCTGTCGTTTTAGCAACTGGTTATTTCAGCAACGTCCCATTTTGGCTTCATGTAAGCATCATATATAGTTCATGTTTTTACGCATTTCTTCGTAACTGATTGAATCCATTCGTTTTGACTAATTAAAACTTGACTTTCTTGATGAACAGGAATCTGAATTCTTTGCCGAAAATGGATTCCCAAAAACCCCATTTCCAAATGGTTGGAAGGGAAAGGGAGGGTTGTACGCAGCAGGGTTTACAAGGAGAGGGCTGGCTGGTGCTTCTGCTGATGCAATGAAAATATCAAAAGATATTGGAAAAGAATGGAAAGCGGAATTAAAGCAGAAAAAACAGAAGGTTCCTACACATAGAAGATGCATCTCAACTTTCTAATTTTAGAAACTTCATTTTCCTTTTTTCATATTTATTTTTTTATTTTATATATACATATATATGAATATACTGGGATGTAAAAAAAAAACAAATGAAAAAGAAGCAGAAATAGAGCACAAAGAAGACCAGACCTTTCCAGAAAGCCCAAGCATAAGTTTTTGAAGAATGTTCGGGCATTTTGCATGCTGAGGAAGATGAGGCTCTCCTTTTTTTTTTTTTTTTTTTTTTTTGTATATGTTGTATACAGATTGTATAAGAATCACTTCACTAAACAATCATAAGTATCTTCTTTTGTTTGTATTTTCTTCAATCTTGTGCGTTTGAGTTTTCTGGCCATGTAATCGCATGACTTAAATATTGAAACTAGATCGATCCAATTCTCAAGTTTTCGGTTTGCATGGTGATTTATCGAATATAACTCAAAAAAGTAGGTTTAAAATAGAGAAATCAAATATTCTCTACTTTTTTTTCTTCTAACATCTTCCTACAGATTTAAAATTATACAATTTATCATAATTAATAAAATTATTAAATTTTTATTAGGCATTTCATTATCTAAAAGTTATAGTATTATGGATACTAATAATAAATAAGAGGATATTTAATTTCTCTTTAAAATAATATTTTACTTATAAGCTCTCAAGCTTAAATGTTATGTTTCCAAGTCCTTTCAAGGAGAAACGTTAAAATAAAAGAAGAAAAGATTTTTTTTTTTTTTGGAAAATAAAATAAGAGTATTCATAATCCCATTCGATAACTTTCCTCCTAACATATGCCGCTACAAGAGAAAGTAATCCAAATACAAATAACATATTTTTTTGGAACGGATTCGTACACAACAAAATTCTTCCATACACAACAATTTGTGTTTTAAAGTGTGTATTGTACAACTCCTTTAAGCATAAATTGTTGTGTACGGATAAAAACTGTTGTGTACGAATCACTTCCCATTTTTTTTACTGGTTTTACCATTCAAACCTAATACAAAAAAGTTACCTAGCCTCTATAAATTAACGTCATGTTGTTCACGGCTTCTATGTTATAAGATGTGTTCTCTATTATGAAACAACTTTATTTTCTTTTTCTTTTTTCGAACTCGAGAACACGAAAATAGAACATATATA